GACTCTTTTTCACTTTGTGTATGAGTCTTCTTGCCAGCTGCGCACCTACACAGTGTATACTGGTGATTTCAGCAGCAGCTTCTACTGAAATCTTTTTCATGGTCGTCTCATTATTGTCTATGGACTTCTGACTGTAGTTTTTCTCAGGCCCCCCATCATCCTGCCGTTTTTCTGACTGTTGTCTCTCACATGGTCCTTGTCCATGTCTTTTGAAGTTTTTCTGGGGGCTGAGAAACATGACATTAAAAAAATGAATCTGATTATAATCATTTGCAATGGTTTATCAAGTATCCATCCAGTGAGCAATACAAACAGCAAAAAAAGAGCTGTCCAAGTTAAGAAATCAGTGGATGAGGTGAACAGATTAATAGTAGAGGATTTCCAGGAAGCCAAATGTACCCTCATGATATTTTTCTTAACTGCTACACCAAATAATAATTAAATATAAAAAACAAACAAAATCTCCCACCATGCCACCACTCAAGCCTAAACCATACTAGTAAAGGTCATACTGAACATAAAACATCTACATAACAAAATGTTTAGCTAGTATATCAGGCTTGACTTACAAAGCTTCATTTTTGGTATTATTTCAGGTTCAAGCTTTCCTTTGCCTTCTCTCCTCTTCACAGATGCCAGGATGGATATTGCTGGAACAAAACAGTATAATAAAGTCAAGAAACCAATTCACAGTTACAGATGACCATGTGGAACATTGTTCACAATAGTTACACTCACTTTTCCGGTAGGAGCATGGCTCCCAGATGGGCGTCTCCAACGCCATGATCTTTGAAGGCAGAAAATATTGGAACAAAAGCATTAGCGCATGGCTGGAGGAGACACTCCACAAAGATAGTAAATTCAGTTTCTAGTATAGAATACCTGTGCATGTGATACAGAATGAATACGTGCGGCCTGTTTTGCCAAGTCCAACAAGGTCTCTGCATCCATGCTTGAGTTCAGCGAGCCTGGGTGGAAATGGTTCTACACAGACAAAGACACACACAAAAATGTCTAGTCAGTTTTTGTGGTACATTTAAAACAGTCATTTGACGCCATGTGTACAATATCCAATATACCATAGCTATTCATTATTATATTAGTACATTATTGTACTTATTTGTGTGGTTGTGTTTTTTGCAACTATAGCTAATAAACAGTATTGACAGACACATTTTAAGACATGTAAACAGAAAAAAGAATAAGAATATACTGTATAATTCATAATATAATTAGCATTGGGTGGTGAGAGATTATGATAGTATGATTTTTCTATTACTCAGGGTAACCAAAATTATTGTGTTTTCTTATATTGATCTCTGATGTATTTTATAGGTAGAAGTTTATATGTTGGTTTATCATTTATTAAACTAGACCTGATGTGTGTGTTTTTTGGAGAGGTGCAGAAACAGGGGGTCTCTGCATGATCAGATGAGGACACTTGAACAATGGGTGAGGGGTGGTTTGGAATGTGGTACAAAACATCTCTTCTCCAAGATATCTTATTTCAGGAACTACGCTCATAATCTGCCCAGCAACAGCATGATGATTCATTGAGTCAGAGGACAAACATTGGGGTCAGAGGACGTGGGCCAATCATGGACTGACCTACACTTTTGTTTTATTGTTTTATGAGGTGAGGATGTATACTAAAACACTGGGTCAGGGAGAGATAGCCAGTCAGACTTCATGAACTGATACAGCTTGTTGTTTGTCAGACAAAGGAAGATTGACCCAGAGCTCTGTAAGCTTTATTCATTTACTTGTAATAAAACTGATTAACGTGGACCAAAAACACCTTCTCCAATTGCTTCATGAAAGAACACGCAGGACCAAGGACTACACATAGTTTAAAAAGGGTAATTTAAAGTCACGGTCCAACAGTGGTAACATGTTTAATTTTTGAATTTTGTCTAATGAATTAAGTAGTAATAAAACAGTAGTTTGATGGTAAAATGTACAGTAGTGTCATTGTCCATAAACATAACTGTAGTTATTGTAGTCGGCTATGGATAACGTTATAAAATGAGAAAGATGAACATAGACTAAACAGACTGCAACAAATTACTGACCATTTTAGCGAACTTTATCTTTAACAACTGTTGACAAAGCATTTTAATGAGGTTGACAGAAATGTCTGTTCTCGTCAGCCTTTTAAAAACCTAAAAATGTTACCAATCAATAAATTGTTTTTAAACTACAGTTTTTAGTATTAACAGTTTTCAACAGGACAAACATGTACCAATAACCAATATTGTTTCAGTTAAGTTACAACATATTTAATAATCCCTTTTGATGATGGACATTTTAAAATTAACTCAAATCAAGACCATATCTGATCAAGTTTAACAACTGACATTTTTTATCAGAAGTTTGGCATTTCAGCTCATGGCATCTGTGCAAATACCATAGACTGTTTAATACCTGCCCTCTCTCGTCCCCCCCCGGTGACCACAGCATGTCCAACAGTGACATAACACGTTACTAAGCTAGCTAATGCTAGAGTTAGGCAACTAAAATTGAGTAAGCTAAAATATAAGCTTCTATGTATGATATAAAGTATTAATAGAAATAAAGATAACACTGGATTCGAGCAACGTGTACTTTCTAACGTTACATAGAAGCAACCAGAGTAAAATTAATTGTAAATGTGCTGGCTCTTGGGTTTAGTGTAGTAACTTACAGTATGAAATCATTGACAAGGACCCCTCCATTATTAGTGCATTCACTGTCAGACAGCTATCCCCCTTTTCAGACCACAACCAAATAAATTAGTTCTTTAAACACTGAAAGGATGAGTGACACAAGAGGGGCAGTAAATTTAACATGGCCTGTTCCCTGTCGTGTCCAGGGTTGACCACTCTGAGGAGTTGCACCACAGAGCCCACACAGTGCTGCCAGAAGCTTGGCTGGAGGGTTTTGCCTTTTGCACACTACTGAATAATTAGTGAAACACATACATGTACAGTATGTTTATATTCTTATATCCAATTGACATTATACATACACTCATAAGTTATTAAAGTCACATCTCTAAGGGCAAGCACTTCCACTTAAGAGCAGTCAGGTTTCCTTAGATCTCATATAAATTGCCCTTTGTTAATAGTCTAACCTGTAATATTTCTCTCCCATAGACTTGCACTGAATTACTTCTCAAAATGTCAATATCGTATGGGCCAGTTGGTTAGTTGGCCAGTGTGTGTAATGGCATTAACCTGGGTAAATTTCTCAGAATATTCATATTAAAATAATGACCCCAAAGCTCTCAAGCTTTACTGAACAGCTTTGAACTCACCACCATGTAAATGAAGCCACTCATTAGCATGGTAAAAGTCTTAACTAGCTTATAAAAACAGGGTTAAACATTGATAATGTTTCAGTATTAAGATGATCTATTTCTGACCATCCCTGAATTTGCCAACCTAATATTAACAAAAACTAATAAATTTTAAAAATTTACAGTTAGAGATTCCTAGATGGCAAGGCTCAAGCAAAGTTCTCCAATATTATGAGTAATACAGTTATGACTGCTCTTTAAATGATATGGTTGAAAAATTAACAAAAACAGTGTTAATTAGTTAACAGAATCTGTAGAGCAGCTGAAGGAAAATAGGGGGACACAAGGCTTACAGTTAACTTTAATACAGTATACAAAGAAGCCATGACTGTCTATAATAAAGCAATATGTCTTGCAAGAAAGGATTACTTTTCCAAGACTATTACAGAGAATGCTGGAAAGTGTTTACTTTTATTCCCCCACCACACTGTTCTCCGCATCAAATTGTGAAGAACCTGCTTAGTGGCAGTATTGCTGCTGGTGTAAACACACGTAACGTCACCAAATCCTGTAAAAACAGAACTTCACCGGTATTACGTCAACTGACCTTTCCAAGACTAACACGGAGTACTCCTCCACCTCATGTATTACCCTGTATCTAGAGCATTTTTTAAGCAGGTATTCAATAGTGGTTGTAGTCATGTCCTGAAGATGCCTTCAAAACAGCTGTTGTAAAACCCTTACTAAAAAAAAATAAAACAAAAAACCAGCCTAAACGGTAATGCAAGGACCACCCGTAGGCTGATATCTAACCTTCCAATCTTTAGTAAGATACTTGAAAAGGTAAAAAGGGACTTTATTTATTTTCACTGGTTCCAGTGCAAATAAACTCATTTCTCGAAGAAAATATTACCTGAATAAATCTCAATTAGGCTTTAGACAATACAACAGCACTGAAGGTGCTCTTACTAAAACAATGTCTGAGACCTGTTTCAGGGTTGCACATGGGAGTTTCTTTGGTACATTATGATTCTCAATATATATGGTGCCACGTGGTAACATCATCAGAGAGCACAATGTATGTTTCCATGCAAGTGATAAGCTACTGCACAACTCTGCTGAACCAAATAATGCTGCAGCTATAAACTACCTTACTGTTAGAATAATCTTTATCAAAGAATGACCAAGTCACGTAGACATTTCCTAGCTCTTTCTATGCACCAGGTCCTGTTTTATAAGTTCATAAGTTCACCGAAAATGTTATACGCTCGCAACAGTTTAACATACTTAAGCATAGCACATTTTTCTACTACTTTTGGCAATAAATAAATGGAGGTACGTTAATGTCTTAAAGTTAAACAAGGACAAAACTGAAATCCTACTAGTGTGGTTTAATAATCTGGGGAAATTGACTCAAGAAGGAAACAAAAACATAATTTTTACACCTTAGAAACACAGCAAGTGCGACTATTTATAAATTAAAAAACATCCAGAAAAACTTATTCATGCCTTTATTTCAAGCATTAGTCCTGTTTTAGCTGCTCTGCACTGGCTTCCTTCAATATTTAGAATTTATTTGGAGGTCCTCCCTCCTGATATTCAAAGCTCTTAACGGGCTAGGACCAAGCTACATTGCTGACTCCCTTGTTCACAACTTGCTTTCAAGAACACTCTGATCCCCTACTCCCGGTTTATAGGAGGTTCCCACAAACAGCAGAAAGAAAATGCAGCCTTTGACCGTTACACCCCAAAGCTAGGAAACACACTAACTATAGATATCTGGAAAGCCTGCAAGCTAAAAACTGCTTCTAACTAGCTATGACTTTCCTAATGTAGATATGAAACCTCTTTTTGCACTTTGTTTCACATTTATGCACTGCTGCACTTATTTCAAAATGCTGTACTTTACATGCTATTATGCATTCTATGTATTATTATTATTATTATTATTATTATTATTATTATTATTGTTCCAGTGTCTGTCTAATCTCTTTTTAGACCCAGATGTCTCACCCTTTAGGATTTTTATTTACTGTGCTGTTTGTGTGCCTTTGCACAACACTATTTGGGTAGAGGTCAACAACAATAAGAGTAACGGTCACCATTAATGAAAAATCATGCATGAGAAGCGTTTGGAATAAAATACTCACCAGAAATGTTCCAACATGTTCCCGACTGAACACATGAGCATAATATTCATCTTTTGACAGCTTCCTCTCACAGAGCAAACACAGGGATTCCCTTTCTGTGGACGGATGCCATTTGACAGCCACACTGTAACTGACCATGAACTGATGACCTGCAATGACGAGGTGAAAAGTCAAAAGAAATCCATAGTGCACTGTGGTAAAATTATGTATAATAAATTTGCTGAAGCGCCGCAAATTGCGTGACCAAGGGCATGCTCCCTGTACATGTTATAGCCCTCAGTGATATGATGCATGCTTGAACATGACTACAGATTAAAAAAAAACAAACAAACTGTGGAACGTTTGAGGATTTAATAACCAGATATTTATTCACAAGACAGAATATGAAAACATATTCAGGCTTCATTAGGCAATGCTATGGATAACATCAGGGAGAGATAGAATGGCTACAGCTTTAAATGAAAAGGGGGAGAGGGTAGAAAAGAAATTAGAAAGATGTTGGAACTTAAAGGAACAAACAAAGCTGCTAGAAATACATACACATGGTATAAAACCATATGCTTTATTCAGTTGTGTCAGCATTTGTATTGTTCTGTGATATCACAATAAAGTGTACAAGTGGCCTGAAGTTCTCATCTTTTGGCTGACTAAAGTTTATTACGAGCGTTCGCTAAAGAAATCTCCCACCACAACACTTTTGATTTCTTTTTCTCCCTAGTGGTACCCACCAAGCAAAGGAAATCTCTCGTTTTGTTGGAGTTTGCTGTATGTTTCACACCGTGGAACTGCACAGACAGAAAAGCAGAAAGACAAGTCAGATGAAAGTAAACAAGTCAAATAATTTCATTTATCTTATAATAAAGAAATTATTTTAGCACTAACCTTCACGCTTTAAGATAGTGTGGTATAGTTCAAGTCTCTCCATCACTACAGACAAAATCAAGAACAAAACACAAAACTATGTTAGACTGCTACAGGTTTAATTTTTTTGGATTTTAATGTTGTGCAAGTAGGCTTGGTGGCAAGTATGACCAAAACCAGTTCAATAAAATCTCACAGAGCACTGGTCACAATTTTTACATCATAAATAAAACTGCAGTGTGGGGAAATGTACAGGTACATTAATTAGTGGCATAATTTCCTGCATTGTCTAAAACAAGGGTTTAAGTGCAGAGAGGAAAGATACAGTCTCCCTAACTACCTCTGAATAATTTGATGCAAGACCAATTGTACCTTTAGGGTAAGAAGGTGGGATGAGCCTCTGGAACATCCAGTATGGCATATCAAGCACCTGAGAAAGGAAACATTTTTAATAAGTAATGGCAAAAGAAAATTATTTAGTCTAGAGAAAATGATTACAGGAAATTAACCTTTCTATTACATTAAGAAGCCTCACTCTGGTGGTGGTGGTGTTAGCTTTAAGACTGAATGTTACTTTGTATGCTATGATGCGGGTATAATGACATTTGTATATGTATACACAGATGTAAACACCAGAGTAAGAAAATACAAAATATTTGAATTGGCATTTTACCTTCAGCATCATCTGATGTGATCCTCTTTCCTTCTCCTCTTCCCACGCCATTGACCTCAAGAAATTCATATCCAGAGGTTTCTCCCAGGCAAAAGGGAGACGCCAGGGATTCTGGTACACCTAAGAATTTAAATGTAAATGCTCCGTATTTGTATATCTAGTCTTTTTGACCACTCAAAGTGCTTTTACACTACATCTGCATTCACCAGTCATACACATTCATACACTGAGCCTAAGTGCTCAAAGAGAAACTGAACTGACATTCACACACATTCATACACTGGCGGAACAGCCACCAGGGGCAATTCGGGGTTCAGTATCTTGCCCAAGGACACTTTGACATGAACCGCCGATCTTCCGATTAACGGCCAACCGCTCTATCTCCTGAGCCACAGCCGCCCCATAATTTAGGACAGTGGCCAAAAAAAACAAGCTTTTCCCATTGGATTTCGCTGTATATTTTTCGCTGTATATTACTGTGTTTCCGGCCCTTGCATGAATTGTTATTTTTAAATGGAATCCTGAAAGAGTTTTTTTTTACAGTTTGGCTTATAAAGGCACCATAAGGGCTTGTGGGAATCCAGAAAAACCTAAACTATTCTAAATCTGATCACCTTAATTACAAAAAGAAAGGACACCCAACAATGTGGCAGCTATTGACTTGTGTCAGAATTTGATATAGACGTGATATAAAACTAAAAACTATGTACATAGTGTACATACCGCCAGTACCCACACACAGCTGCATTTGTGTCATAGTAATGTCCAAACACAAGCCACATATGGAAATAACTCAAACAAAAGCTTACCAATGTGAGTATGAGATGTTTTTGAGAGTCTAAGTGTTCTTTGAGAAAGGAATCCGAGAAAGAGTCCTCACAAGCAAAGCACACATAAATAGGTTTCATTTGAATCTCGGTGGTGATACACGTCACTATCAGGCTTGCACCTAAACAAACAAAATCAAATTAAGAAATGAAATGTTTCTCAGTTTAACACCGAACAAAACCATAGTAAGTGGGTCAGCTCACCAACAGCTGGTTCCTTCCCTCGGGTGTACGTGTACAAGTCCAGCCAGGGTGTGAATGCTAACATTAAAAAAGGAAAGGAGGGTTAAGAGAAGGAGCTGAATAAATACCAAAATCTATGGAAATTTTTCTTAAATTACAACAGATTTGAACATTGTGAGGGAAACTGCAAATTATTCATGCACATATAACCATGTTTAATTTCTACTATGTTGATAAATCAGAATCTTGTGTAAAGGTGCCTCAGAGTGGGAACGTTAACAAATGTTACTAAAAAGGTCAAGCCGTGGCCTGTGGGAGAACGAGCAGAGGGTTTGCTAAACAATAACTGATAAGAAACAGCTTTGGCCCAAGGCAGCATGAAAAGGAGGAGACGAGATAAGACAGTCGCAAGGTATATATATATATGAGGTAAACTCCTTCCTTTGTTATTTGTCAGAGTGGAACTGCAGAATTGCCACGTCGTCAACTCAGAAGTTGGGCCGAAAACACAGAAAAACACATGCCAATGCTTTTTGTGATACCATCAATCACTGTAAAGGAAATGCTGGAAATTCAAATACAAAGCTCACTGTGTGTAACACAGGCATCTATGTACAGTAAAAATCACCACACTTATTTTAAGTGTTTTGCACAATGTCTTTGGGTTTTTTTGTTCCAAGCTGACAGTATAATTTCCTATTGGGATTAATAAAGTACTTTATTAATTTATTACTATTAGTACTTTTTTTTTTTTTTTTTAAAGCTGACAGACTTATTTGTTTTCTAACCTTTTGACAAATACAGTTTCTGTATTGCTTTAAACTAATGTCTCAAAGTGTTGCAACATGTTGTAACAGAAGGAGAAAAGTGTACCTGTTTGGTCATCTCTTCCAGCTGTAAGAAAGGGAGAAATTAATAATCTCATTTAAATCATCTTAACAATACACTATCATAAGAGAAATCAGAGAAAAGTCCAATGTACCTTCAGGAAAGGATTTCTTCAACATCTGGAGAAGAACGGAAGTCATATTTTATAGCACATCATCAAAAATCACAAATCATTTTATTTTGACTAGAAAGATATAAAAAATGTTGATCTACCCGTTTGTGGTTCCAGTTTTGCAAATCTGCCAAATGATTCAAATACTGACCTATGGTAAAGACCATATTGCAGTTCTGCCACAAGAGAACAAACAACGGAAACAAAGTCCACTGTATTAAACTTGTTTTCTTAATGTCCAGCAACATTTGGTATTTGGTACAGCAGTAATATCCAGCTTGTTATGATAGTTTATTACCTGACAGCGAACTTTGTAGAATAATGTAGCATGCACTGCTACAGACCCTGCTGACGCAGTATGACGCTCTACAAAGAAAAAACATAGTAGTAGAGTTGTTAATTCCATATTGTTAAAGTTCAATTAAAAAAATGTTTACAATAGTAGTTAAAAAAATATACATTGTCTCTTTTTCACGAATCTATCAAATTATGTTTTTATTTCAACAATTTGAGATAAGATTTAAGTATTATTATAGACGCTATTTAAAACACTGGAGGTCCATCCATCCGTCCATCGTCAACCGCTTATTCCTGCGTAGAGGGTTGCAATGGAGGTGTTTTAAAAAAAAAAAAAAAAAAAAAAAAAAAAAAATGATATTATGCATGCAGCCAAAACATGTGAGAGGACGCAGAAGTGATCTTTTAACACCACAACATACAGTTGTCATAGTTAATTATTCATTCAGTGTAACCTGTGTGTACACTATATTACATACACATGTAAAATGTATGTGGTTTATGTACTCAGTGTATCAACTGATGTTAAGTTTGCATGCTTAGAGAAGCTCTGTCAGTTGACCTCAACTGGAAGATGTTTCATTAGAAAAAACGCAATTAGACATTTCCTGGTTTTAATGGTGTCAGGATCCAGTTAATGACATGTTAAAAGGTACTGGGACATAACAGACAGTTATGTCCAGTGCTATGTCAGTCAATAACACACTACACATCAGAACATAATGAAGTGCAATTAAATTTCAATTCAATTTTATTTATATAGCACCAAATCAAAACTACAGTTATCTCATAGTGCTTTTCATAAAAGAGCAGGTCTAGACCGTACTCTGTGATGTTAATTACAGAAACCCACCAATTCCCACGAAGAGCAAGCACTAGGTGACAGAGGCAAGGAAAAACTTCCTTTTAAGAGGCAGAATAATGGGTCAGGGTGGGCGCCCATCCGCCTTGACCGTTGGGGGCGGGGGCGTGTGTGTGTGTGTGTGAGTGTGAGAGAGGGATGGGGGGGGCAGCCTACACAATATACACACAGAGGTACAGACAGTAAAGGTTATTTTGCTTTGGACTGAGTGAATAATGGTACAGATATTTATAGTGTTTATGGTAATAATCGTAATGTTAATGATAGTAACAACAATAGGACTAGTAGCCCTGTGATGGACTAGCGACCTGTCCAGGGTGTACCCCGCCCTTTCGCCAAATGTCAGCTGGGATTGGCTCCAGCCCCCCGCGACCCTGTACGCAAGATAAGCAGTTGATGATGGATGGATGGACTAGTAGCAATAACTGAAATAATAAAGTGGCTGAAACACGGACCTAACTCCTAACCCAGTTATATGTGCTTAAAAAAAAAAAATCATGGATTAAAAACATTCGACCAAGTGCAAAGGTGGTGCCTCAAAATTACAGAGCTTTCTTTTGGTGCTGCAGCTACTTCTACCGCCACTAATCAGACAGCAGTGAAGATGGCGGCGGCAGGTGGGTGAACATGAGACAGACAGCAGAGATGAGGGCAACAGCAAAATAAAAGTCAAAGCCCCCGGAGCCCAGGCAAAGCATAAGTGATATGGTAAGAACATTATATCAGTCGCAAATAAGGTAGCTAACAGATAAACAGGTATCAATGAGCGATTAATTTCATGGCTTACTGTTTTTTATTTAATTAGAGACTAACCACAAGTCAGATTATTTTGGGTTAATGAAACAAACTACTAAAAGCAACATTGTTCCTGTTATTCTAAACCTGCTGTAGCTACTGCCTAGTTTAAATTATTCTGTTGGCCCCTGACTAGTACAGCTAGGACTAGTATACTAATAAAGGCTATATAACATCCTAACATTATGTACTAATATTAAATACAGTAAAACAGTTTTCCAGTTTTGGTAGTGGGATGTTTTAGTGGTATACTATCATAATATCCTAATACTAATTACTCATCTAGCCTGAGGAGTTAGGAGTTAATGAGTGAGTTTCTGCAGCGAATTGGTAATTTTACCTATTTTTTGGTGAAAATAGGAATTGTTGTTTCATATCTTTTCAAATACAGTTTTTATTGAAATGGCCTGTAGAGTGTTTTTGTTGCTCCTCTAGTAGATTTGGGGTAAAGGCAACATCATTTTATTCTATCCCAAATTGGACTTGCATAAAATTCTCAAGAATACAGGCATAAAAGTCTATTAAGACCCAGAGCCCCCGACAAATGCTCTGACCAGAGAGTGCATACAAAAGCGTGGGGAAATGAGTTCAGATCTGATATCTGGCCCGGTTCTGAGCTATTAGTCTTAAAAACAGTGGTCACATTTAATACACTAAGACTTCTGACAGTATCCATCCATCCATCCACTGAGGGAAATAACCTTCATTATTATCATTTTACACAGCAGACATTTCACATAATCCCAACTGGTGTAACACCAACAGCCTCAAACAGATCCAACTAGTTTACACTGAAATACATACCCAGCTTGTTCCCTGGCTTGACGGTTGTAATCAAGCTGGTCTTGTTTTCCTTCGTGATGGATTCCAGTTTCTTCAAAGCTACAAGCCACCATAAGCTTAATTAGTAAGACATCATTCAGAGGAATACAACATAAACTGAGGCATTAAAAATATATACCTTCTGCATAACGACTGAAATTCACTGATGTACCAGGCTCCAGGTTCACTTGCTGTAAAACAATAGTTTCACGTTAATATCAACAAAATATCCATTTGTGGAAGCCTGCAATAGAGACTTTGGAAAATACTATTACCTTCATATCAGTGTTTGCAGTACCATGAATTTCCTCTGTCTGCTTTGCTAGATCAAGTATCATGCAGGCAAAGTCCTTGTTGTAGCTCTGGTAGCATTCCTTTGTCAACAAAGTAGAGGGGTGCCATGCTCTCTGCACAGATTAAAACTGATGTCAAATACACAAACTATGTCACAGGAAAACAAACAGTAGTGATTTCAGTTGTGGTAGATTTCTTACTCAACCAGACATCAGAACAAAAACAACTCTGTTTAGGGTAGATAATGTAGTGCTGGCGTGACTGTGCAGTCAAACTGTTTACTTAATAAACCACATCTGGCAAGTGATTTGTGGTGGAAACCTATATTTCCTAAATTTAACACCTTAAATTTATCAGTTATCAGCAATCAGTGTACATGTACCAACGTTTAATAGTTGTTAACAGTAATAGTTGCCTTCCTAAGTGCTTGAAATGTAAATGCTAACTGTGTCCTGAAATGACCTCTCAGATGTATCCTGTTATTAAGTGACTCAGGGAAAGTTCTCTGGTCCCAGGGGAAGTACAGCTCTCAGAAACAGAAACGAAAGCTATCAAACTGGTATGTGAGAAAATGCTGTGCTATTGCACAATACACACACTGGACTTCAATATCGAAATTTTTGTTAAACTATGTGTAGTGGGAAGGAAGACAGTGAGCAGAAATTATGTTTACTCATTCTGAAATCACATAATAAAGACCTTAAAAAGGCTTCATCTGTCTTTCACAAGTAATTCAGGGGAAAAATTAAATTCATGGCGGATTCTTTATAATGCTTCATTCCTTCCGATATCCTGCAACATTATGTATAGTAAGATGGTATCATCTTGCACAATTATTGCATATGTGCATTTTTCCAGTTAAAATCAAATTTGCAGTGATGATGCAGGAAATCCCATGCATTTTTAATCACTGAATTTAACAAGCATTTTAACTTTTAGGGTCAGAGAACTTCAGCAGTAAATGGTGCAAGTGGCATGTAACCATCAAGTAGACAGTGTAACATGGTGAAAAACTTCTGTTGTAAATTATTTTAGAGCATTATAGCCTAAATTGTTATCATTAATTACTAGAGCGATGGTGGTCTACATTGTCATCATTTAAAGTGTTATTTTATAGTGTAAAGTTAGATGCAAAAGGAGCACATACACTCAGAGCTATAGAGTTTTAACACTGTGATCCTAACTGCCCAGGCTCAGCAGTAGCGCGTGTGCGCGTGCGTGCGTGTGTGAGTGAGTGAGCAAGCACGTGTGCTTTGGGTGCAGAGTGAGGAAGCACAGCAAGGCATCATCAAAAACACCAGCAAAGGAAAATACAGAAGCAGAATTAGTGAAAATTGTGTTACAAAACATACATCAATATAGTCCATCACAATAAGAATGTCCTGTCTCTAGCACACAGCACAAAAGACACTTATAAGTAGTGAACTGTAGTCATGAAAACAGAAACAAGCTCACTGTGGTTAGATCCTTGAGTGGGAGGATTGAATGCAGGTGTTTCACCTTGTTCGACTGTCACCTACTGTAGATTATGACTAAGGAGGGGTTGCAGGTAGTCAAAATCTGCTGTGAGAAGTGCATGCTTAGGGCCAAGCACTGCCTAGGGTCATGTCGCAGAGAGGAAACTTTTCCTGGCCTAGTTATGGCACCAAATACCTGGATTTCACTGTCCCCCAATTATTATATCTATATAGTAAAAGGTCAACACTGAACCACTGCTGAATCAGTTTTAAGCAGATATTGAAAGATAGGCCCCTCTTTTCTTGATACAAAATTACCTGCGCACTGAAGCTCAATTATATTCTCAAATTACCCCCAGTCTCCCAAGGCTTGAACTGCATAAACTACAAAAGGCTGGTAGACCAGTGTGGGATGGGTATTCCAAATTTATTCCTATTATAGTGTGCCTTTGGTTTCAGGCACCTTGTCCACTGGTGTCTGCCCCCCCAAACGCACCCAAAATTAACAGACATCCCGAATTGCTGGAGGTGTGGGAGGAGCATTGGTTCATACCTCTTTATGTTATGGTCCTGGTTGTACAAAAATCTCTGCTGTTCAAAAGTTAAAACAATACTTTTAAAATCATTTTGATGCTACACTGACTTGTAATAATAGTGAATGGCGTCTCGCTCATTGCCACTACGGGCCAAGAAGCAGGTTACTTGCCCTATGTAACACTGGAGTCCCGTGCATGAGAAGAGAGAGACGAAGAAAAGACCGGACAAGAGTAAAAATCAGACTGACCTTTACTCGTTGCCATGAGCTAAAAGACCTGAGGGAATGCAGGAAAGATGCTTGCCTTTTTACTGTTGGACTAGTAAGTAAGAATTTATTAGCTTGCTTGCTTTGTCTTGTGTTATTGTGCTTCCACTCGTGTTTCATGCCCATTACTTATATCAAAAAATGAGAAACCCAAAATCTTCTGATCAGTCACTGTATACAGTCACATTTCTTAACAAAGATCTTTGTCTTATTGGCAGATTTTTCTGAATATCCTCTTTAAATGTCATAGCTACTTACAAAGTAACAAAAGATGTGGTCAAAGCTCAGGACATGTTTGATGATCGTGTGGGTGGCTATAGTTAGGTTGCAGAGCGTGCAGAGGTAGTGTCTCTTCTCAGTCAGTCCAGCACCAATGCATTCAACAAGGTGCTGCATGCCTACAAGACAGAATAAGAGACACAAAGGGGGAAGGGATTGTAGTTAAAGCTGAGGAAGTTCACAATGAAGTAAACTCTCCAGCATGAGTAGGTTTGTTCAAGTATTAATTTTGTAATAATTAATTTTGTTGAATTGGTATTAATATCACAGTATCGACAAGGTATACTATAATAAAAGATTCCACTAACTAAAGTGATTCATTTATTTAATTTGTATATTAATCCATTGAATTTAATATGCTATGTAAGAAGACAAAATACATTTTTCCCTTAAAGGGGCTGGTTTTCAGCAGCTACAAGTGGCGCAGTTTTTAGATTGCAATCAGGGGCGTACTTGCTCAAACTCATGAGCAAGCAGAGTCTGAAACGCAGAGAACAACAAGAAGGTCTATGCTCGTTACATTGACTGCATTTGGATAGTCGGCGTTGGCTCGCCTGCTGGCTTTTCAATAACTCTTTTTCGGTCTTTCACCGGAGAGGCTCAGCAATGTCAACATAGCTAAATGTAATGGATGATAAACAAACAAACAGTATGGGCCCGATTTACTAACATCCCGAATAAAGAGTACTAGATTGCGTGTGCATTCTAAAATATTGCAGGTGCAATTTTAGTACCTGTTTTGGGTGATTTACTAAGAATTATTGCATTGATGACAACAGGAGAAAACACAGTGGAGGTGAGTGTATTTAAATGAGGGTTTTACGTGTTTTAATGGTTTCCGCCATGGAGAGTCGGTAGGGAAAGCAGCCACTGCGTAAAAACCTTGGTTTGTTTCGTTAAGTGCGTCCCGATTATGTGGAAATCATACCATCCTGCCTGAGAGTGCACTAAATACTTTGGACAGCACACCTGAAAAACTGCAGAAACATATACAGTATGCTGGAATGACCCAGACACGAGGAAATGCCAGCAGATCGTGCTTCATCCAGCCAAAGGGAACAATCACCGACTGTCCGTACCATGCCCGGTTGCTCCACTATCTCCCGTCCCTGGCCCTGTACGCCCCATTCCCTCTCCATCCGATACCTACAATGAGTTGTGTCGCTATTACGACCGGCGTGCTGTGAATAGTTGGTGATCGTTCCCTCTGGCCGGATAAATTTACACATGATCCATGCACTACTGCAACTGGGGGCTCTCCACAGCGCCACGCTAAATTCTTCCATCTCACGGAGAAAAGACGTCAGGTCAAATCGAAATTTGCTTTATTGGCATGGATGTTAACAGTTTTGCCAAAGCTAAAAGAAAATACAAAAAAAACTATTCAATTCATAAAGTTCATTGAATAAATACAATAATTTTATTTCTATATATTGGATATAGAATAATAATTAATTGTAATAATTGTTAATTTCTCTACATTTTCTTTCGCTACGGCTGTGTCTCCTTCTGGTAACAATAACAGCAGCCATCTCTGCGCAACACTTGGCGGTTTGCACCTTCCTTTCAAACGTATTTAATACAGATGCTGCACTCACATGAGATTGCGTTTAGACTTGGTAGATCACATTGCATGTAGCAAATAAATTTATTTGCATGTTACCCTCCCACTACTTTGCACAATAAAACTCAAATGCCCCAATTTGCATATTCATTATGGCAAAAGTACTACATGAACAACAGGTGCCATCTTGCACTTTTGAAAGACGTCATTCTGCGTGCACACCATTAGTAGATCAGCTTACGTGCTAATTTGCTGGTGATATCAAGTTTGCGCACGTTTTTTACTCACGCAAACCTTTATTAATCAGGCTCTAAGTGAGCTAGACTGAATCTTACAAATGAGATTGTTGCCACACTTTAGAACAGTTAGACCGCAATAAGTAATGTACTGTAGTACATTGTTCTTCCACTGTGCTGTTGTCCTGCACCAAAATGTTGCATTGTTATATAATGTGGGTCACATAAGTTACAGTGACTGAGATGGTGAAGAAGCTGTGTAAGTATCGGTAAAACGACAATAAATCGAAATTGAATGTAACGAAGCAAACAGTGGCACATCCGTGCCAACGTGAGCTGGTTAGTATAGGCTAGTATCAACAATCACTCCACTTTTACTTTGTACCATTATGCCCTTTCTTGCAGGTTAAAATCAACACTTTGACATACACCAGTGGTCCACAGGATAGTAATCTGGGTCGCATTAGACGTAATATGGAAAACCATACAACAATAGTATTTTGCTCCAGATAAGGTTAGGAAATGGTCGGCAATAGCCGGCAAACCAATGTTATCTAACTTGAACCAACTAAATCACTGTGACTCAAGCCTTTCTGATGTTGATCGTGTTTTCACCCAACACTGATCTGATACTCATTTGGCTTGACAGGCTTCAGCACATAAAAATGTACTGTTTTTTTATCCTTACGCAGAGTTTGTGTTAGAGTTTGTTTGGGAGCAGGTGTCTGTTTGGCATTAGTGGACTTTCGTTAGCTGCAGTGTTGTTGCTGTGTGTACAGTTCAAAATCAGTAGGCAAGAGGCTAGTGAGCGCACATGCAGAGAGTCCGACTGGGTTTTAATCACATAGGCCACAGAATAGCAGCTGTTCCAAGGGACCCAGAAAGCAAGCGTGTGGATAATTTTTACCTAATGTTACAGCCCATTGAAAAATAGGCAGAAAAAGTGATTTATTGATAGCTTATTTCATTGAGGTCTTCTTGTTTTTCATGCCCTTCCTGTTCTCCATACTTAAAAACATTATGTTTGATCATCAGGTGTTATTTTTAGGCACATTTACTGACCAAGAAGTGGATGCTTCCTGTTGCTGTCTCTTTGGTATGTTTGTATCATCGTCCTGTTTGGCTTAAAAGCTAGAGGGGAACAAAAGATGGCAGTGATGAAACACAGACTCAAGGACAATAAGAAAGAGTAAATGTAAGATATGATAATAATTAAAATATTTAAAGTTTAAAAATAATTCTGAGCACCTTAAGGCTTCTTGTCCATGTTGGCTTGAGCTTTTAAAGCACCATGTTATGTAGTAATGTTATCTATGTAGGTTCATGTTTTATGAAACCAAGATCATTTGATATTACTGAAAGTTCCAGCTACTAAATGGACCTTTTGTTTACTTGACTGCTGTTTCCAACAAACTTTGAACTTCATACATTAACTGGGCCCGCGACCCTGTTGGCAGGATAAGCAGTTGACGATGGATGGATATTAACTGGGGTAAGCAATCAATCCAAGTAGTGCTTACAACAAAGGGCTGCTGTTATAATTATACAACACATCAAAGCACTGTTTGATTTTGGTAAAGAGGAAGATTAAACTCTATACTGTACTCCAACTCCCTCAGTCCTGATTAATCCATCTGCAGAAATAAGTGTATTGAGAAAAATGTGCACACACCTTCAAACAGCTTGGGAAGCTTCTCATTTTCACTAAGCGTTTTCATCGCTGGGGAGAAGGATCAGATCATTTTCATAAGCAGACAATTTAACAAAACACAAAAATTACATATAGAAATCTTAGAATCCTTTACCTTCATTGTAGGTACTCGTTTCAAGCTTTTTAAACAGATCTCCAGGTAAATCCAACATCTAAAAAAAATGTAGTGGAAACATTTAACATCCTCTAATTTATTCACAAAAAATACAAATATTGCAGAAACTTTATATGGCAGTGCTGTGTAAGTACAATACAATGGTAAGAAATAATGTGGTAGGGTGAACTGTAGTGTGTCCTCGACAATGAGAAAAAGCATGACCATGTTACCGGTTTCAGTTCAATCACACACTCAGGTGCTAATTTAACCTAAAGAGAACATTACACATAGTAGCAGTAGTTTGTTTGGCGCAGCAGAAACAAGCTATAAACCCAACAGTGACATGTTTTCACCTTTTAGGCTGATGAACATATTAGCAAACAGTTACCCATTTACACATCCGGCAGTTACAGATCATCATTAGCACTCGTTTTGAGTCTTGTTTGTAGCCATCTGACAAAAACCAATATTGTGTCTTGTGGTGTCCGAACAATAATGCTGTGATGATGTGTTAAGAGGAAAACCCACTTGACACTGTTCTTGATCATAAAAATTTATTAAATCAAGGAGTTCCAGCATCAATTACAAGCTCTGCAGTAGCTTGGAGAGTGACCCAGCCCGATGGCCACTCTGTCTCTCTGTACATCAAACATAGCTTATATAGGATATGTTTAGGTCTCTAGTTAGGTACCATAGAAGGGTTTGAGTCTGCAAAGTAAAAGGTCAAACCCATAGAAGGGTACAGTACTATCTTGAGGTAACAAAACAAGGGGTTAGAGGTCAAATTCTATAGAAGGGTTCAGTCCCTACATAACCACCAATCACTGCTCTCCCCTTAGGAGGTCACTGACCCTCTGTCCTGCTGCTACAGTGCTATTTTGAACTGTTATGAGTCAAATGCATAAATATTGGATACTACAGTCTCCTTTTAGCTCGTTTTGGTCTCCACCTACTACGGCTGTCCCCGACTAAGGATTTACATAGTCGAATCACAATTGTCAAGTCTTGCCTATAGTCGACTGACAGTCGAACGGTGTTTGTGTGTGGCGATTGCGAGCGGGGTGGGGGGTAACACATGGTAGCTCCGCTTTAATTTTGACAAGCTGCAGAGCTGTAGTCTCGGCTCATTAGTCACTGTAACTTACACTGTACGTTTCCACCTAAACTGAGTCTCATTGTTGACCCTTTTCTCTCTGCTCGCCTGCCATTCACCAGTCTTGTGCAGAGTTTTGCATGCCTGCCGTGCGGCCAATAGCTGTAAGCACGTCGCGGTTCCTTGCGCACTTTAAAACATTTATTAAAAGCTGTTTTTCTTTTCTCATTTTTTTATTTACAGCATTAAACACTGAAATGTATATTGTAATAGGCTGTATATTAACTTATTGGGAGAAAACTGGTAGCTCTATGTAAAATCAGACATTGAGCACCCCCATATCACCAAAACGGCATGATCAATGAACAATGATCTGAGTTATAAAGTTCCATACAGCTGATGGGAACTGCAGAGTTGGGTGATAATTCTTTGTGGGTTTTCACTACAAGCAACCCTTTTCCACATACAAGTCGTTAAGTGATCCATTGTTAATATAAAGTTATTGAATACAACTGCTTTAAGTTGTCAATATACATTTACTGTATGATTCCAGGCCTCCAGGTACAAACCTTTAGTAGTCCAGGCCCTCTTTCATTGACTTCCTTTGTGATCTCAGGCTTCAGAAAGGCTCTCATATCCATCACGGGGAGCCAGGAGAAAGGCAGTACATTGGGGTTGGTGTAGTTCTGACATACAAAATACAATAAATTAAAATTGTGCTTCCAAATTTTAAGCATGGGTTAGTTTTTATCATCAATAATCAGCACTTACAAAGTAGTTGCTGCAGTGGTCACCAGAAGACAGGTGGTGTAAAATCTTGTCTGAGGGACGCTTTTCCTCACAGACATGGCACAGATAATAATGGGTGTCTGTCTCTCGACTGAAACACAGAGTCAGCAGAGACAAGCCTGCAAGAAAGCCATTTAAAATAGGATAATTACTTCAGACATAATGAATCTTTTACATCTTCAGCAGTACTAAACATCGTCTCACATTTGTTATAATGGGAATAATACCATATAAGTCCATAACCATCTGGTGCTTTAATTACACATCAAAAATGTGTATTTAGTCATAAAAACAAATGCATAGAATAAATAATAAATATTAAATAATAATAAATAAAATAATATAATATTAATGTACCGCACGTCATGTGCAATTCAAGACACTTTACTAACCTATGATGGGATGTTTTTCATGTTTCGCTAGCGGAGTAATAAAGGGAAAGGTGCCTATAGAGCAAACAACAATGAAAGAAAAATATTACACTTTATTACATGATAAAAAGTCAGCCCTCAGCTTCAGTTAGCAAAGTTACAAACAGACCTGGCAAAAAACCTTGGCGCAGTCATGGACTCAGGTCTGAATTTCAGCAGTTTAATGTGCTGTTTTCATTTTCAATCCAACTCTTTTTAAATTTTGTATTTTTGCCTTTTTATAGTTCCCCGTGTTGCTATTAGGTTTTATGTAAAGCACTTTGAATTGCCTTGTTGTTGAAATGTGCTATTCAAATAAAGGACAGCCTACGTTACTTCAATTAAACAGTCTCAGTCTAAAAGGTCTCTGTATGCTTACAACAAACTAGGCTAAACATTGTTTTGTCGGACCACATTTAAAGAGTTTACAGCTGTTCCAAATGACGTTTTTTGATGTTTTGTTACAATTTTATGTTTCCACTAACATTCTTCCCAGGTGGTGTCCTTAATGTTTTTAGTTACATGGTAACTTTAAAACATACCATCAGTTCACACAGAATATATAGCAAAGTGGGTTATACACAGTGAATTGTAACTTTAACACACAACACATGACTAGAGAGGCAAGATGTGATAAATTGGCATAATGTGCACTTTTCTCTCCTTTATGGTTAAAGTGTCACACTCTTTGTTATACCCGCAGAAGAGGTGAATTATGTTGTCTCGAAAAAAAACAATAAAAACCCCCAACTCATTTGAGATAGTTCTAATCCTTGTTTTGTTTTTTTTTCTTTTTACCAGAAATGCAAAGGACCTAGGAAAGGCAGGGAAGACTGTTAGGAAAAATATGGATGTAAGCATTGCAGGTCTCAAAATATGGCAGTTTTCTGAGGAAATGCATTTAACATTTCCTTTTCTAGGACATACACAAGAACTTTGTTAACAAGCACCAAACAAATAGGAAGAAGAATAAGCAGGCTTACCATGTCCCTTTAAAATATCTAAAAAAAAATAAAAAATAAAAAAAAGGTTAATCTACTGGACATTCCATCGAAGTAACAGATGGTGCGGGAAACAAGAAGATAAGAGATTAACAAGAAATTAAATAAGAAAAAAGCACAACCTTTCTGGAAGACGTTTTCCATTTTCTGTTGGTAAAGAACAGATGAAACATGCAGAGGAGGTTTATTAATGCAGAAGCAAACATAGCAACAGAAATATGGGTTCTGTCTCATGATACAGGATTACAGTTAACTGGACAACTGCACTGAGTGAAACAAAGGACTCGCCTATTAATCAATGGTCCAGAGCCTCCAGCTTTAAGTCAACACAGTTACCCACATAACTTATAATGCTGTTGATGAGACAGTTAAATTAAAGACATTCAAGTAGCCATCAAGGAAAATATTTATTTTGGTTGGTGAATGGTTCAGTGTGAGAATTTAAAAATTACTAATTAACCAAGTTAAGTGTACATGAAGTTTAATGCTCACCTCTTTATGTGCCCTTGAGAGAAAATGTTGCTTCAACTTAAAAATACTTTTAAACTGGATGAGGCACACCTAAAACGAGAAAAAAAGAAGTTGTATCAGCAACACAGAAATACAATGATATGTAGTACATTTGTTTACATGAGCCAAGATTTGTGGATAGTATTTATCCACAAATCTTATTCAAATCTTCTTCAAAAACAGGCGGAGGTTTGCCAATAGCATTACAATACACTTCTATCTCCATGATTATGCTTCTGGCACTAACAGCAGGTGATTTAGGATTTAGGAAACTCAAGGCCCAGAGATGTGCTGCAACTGAAAGTGCTTCAATAGAAATAGGTGTGTAAGATTCATTGACTCAATGCCATTATTGCAATTTCACATTGAAAACGTTGAGGAAAGTGTGCGATATTCTGCTTATTTTCTGGAGATGAGGTTTAGTTGTGTTCGATTTAAAGCCCGCTTGAAACTATGTGAGCGTAAGGGTCCACCAAACGAACATACCCTTTGGAGCATACCACGTGACGTGTGGCATACTTCAACAGCGAGTGAGCATGCGAGAGAAAGACGAGTCAGAGGAGACAGAAAAGTAAGAAGATGAGTGTGGCTTAGTGAGACATTGAAACAGAGATCAAAGAGGAAACGTTAGTGGGCAAAAATTATGCCTCTCTCTCCGCTGGCTTTCGCTGTCGTGTTGTTCCGTTTGCTCTCTCTCATTTGCCCGACCTCGCACGCGGGATTCGCGGGGGGCTGCTGGGCATGGGTGTCGCCGTGCTCGCGCAGTGTGCGCGTTGGGCTCGTCACTTGTGCATTGGTGTTGATGATTGCGTGGCATTTGGGCATTGTGGTTGTTTGCTGCGCGGCGGTGGGGTGCTGGATGGGGGAGGCCACTGGTCTATGTTGTGTCTGCGACGCGGTCGGTCCGGGCGCTGCTCTTCCTCTTTTGCGTTCCGTCGGCATTACGTTGTCAACTGGCATTTGGGTCGGGGTCTTCTGCGTTTGCATCGCGGTGCATCTGGGAGTCTTTGTTTTTTTTGATTTGATTTATTCTTTTTCTTTCTTCCACCCCTATTGGCTACTGGGGTTCTTGCCTGCCTGTTACAGTCGTGGCGTCCCACTCTCTCTAACAACTACATTCTTTAACAGGCTTATGCGCACACACATGTACATACACACACATACAGACACATTCACCCACACGCACACACACACACAGACACAAACAAACTTAGGTTGTCCCTGGTAGAATTATTCTTGATGCCTCTCTTTCAGTTACTTATTTAAATTAATTATTATTCCAGCTCTCGTGGCTGTGTTGTGTTGCTTATTTAGTGTGTGTGACTGTTTCTTGTTTTCATTGTTCTCTTAGTTGTCTTAATATGTCATTAATATGTCAGCTGTTTATTGCTGCTGTTCGGCTGGTTTTCTTTTACTATTATTATTTTTTATTGTTTTTTTTGTTTGTGTTTGTTTGTTGTTGTTTTTCTCCTCCCCAAGCCCCCCTCTCTGTTCTCTTGCAGGTTTCGTTGCTTTCTGCAATTGGTGTTTCCCACAGCTTTTCCCTGTTGTCCCCACCCTCCATCCCCCTTTCCCCTTCTCTTGCAGGTGTTGTCCTTTCTCTGTGCTGTCTGTTTGTGCCCCCCCATCCCCGTGTCTGCCCCCCTGTCCGGCCCGGTGACAAATCAATACATAATTAAATAAATAATAAAACAGACAAAGGAGTATTTTAATACTCTCTTGTTAAAGTAAAATCTGTCTGGCACAATATGGTATCCAGGTCATTATACTCTATACCAGGCTGCTGGGCAGGACAGGTTTAAAAAAAAAAAAAAAAAAAAAAAAAAAAAATTATGCCTCCTTGGTAGCTTAGAAGCACTTTGGCTTTAATCCGACAGATGTGCACCGTGCAAAATGTGCCGTATGGTGATATACAGCATGTGTCCCCCAAAAAAAATGCAACAACCCTGTCTTGTTAATACGCCAGAGCTAGCCAATGTACACAGTTGGTAAAAAAGACTTTAGGAAGCTTCTGAATTAACTGGACAAACAATATCAAATCCCATCCCGCACCTACTTCTCACAGGTGGCTATTCCGCATCTAGACAAGCAGTGCAGAAAGTCTGTGCAGGCTGAGCTTGGAATCAAACAGATGGAATATTTTTCCAACCATGATGGATCTGTGATCTAGCCGCACTTTGGAGCCCTAAATAACTCTCTCTGTGCACTATAAAAACACCTGAATACAAGCTCGTCTTTTCTAAAAGATGGTGATGAAAGTGATTACGTCTTGGGTGTTTTTTTGCAATGAAAGGTGATAAAGTAGATGTAATTTTTTTACTTTAGAATTATAGTTGTATTGTGGTGTATAACATATGTGCATTCGACCATTACAGTTTAAAATAACACTCTAGCAGCTAGACAGAGGCTCAATGAACTCTTAAGGGGGGAGTAGTGATTGATGGGTGTGTAAAGAGTGAACCCTCCTATGGAATTTGACCTCTGACCCAGTGTAAGGGGGAGTAGTGATTAGTGTTTATGTAGGGACTGAACCCTTCTATGGTGTCTAACAGATGTTTACACTTATCCTACAGCACTGTGCCCTTATATGGATTGGAGCTTTAGATTGCAGACTCAAACCCTTACATGGCATTTAGCAGATACCTAAACATGTCCTATATAAGCTATGTTTGATGTACAGAGAGACAGAGTGGTCATCGGGCTGGGTCACTCTCCAAGCTGCTGCAGAGCTTGTAATTGATGCTGAACTCCTTGATGTAATAAACTTTTATGATCAAGAACAGTGTCAAGCGGATTTCTTCTCAACACATCATCGCAGCATTATTGTTCGGACACCACAGTATCACTATACAGTACCTCCAATATCTTAAGAGCAGTGTGGATACAAAAAGTCCTTTAATTGTTGATTTATTTGGCCAAATGTACTACGTGTTATTATTCTGTGATCCTCCAGAACAGAGCCACGGAGCCCCAGGATCAAACAGTCCCAGCCCCACCTCCACCAAAAAAGTCCAAGAAGTCACTGGGGAGTTTGCTGAAGAGCAGCAGCACCACAACACCGGCAGTATTTTTTCCTGGGGGAAGCGGTTACAGCTGAGCTTTTCATGATTTTATTTTACTTTATTTTATATATTTTTTATATTTTTAACATTTTAGTTTGTTTTGGGCGGCGCGGTGGTACAGTGGTTAGCGCTGTCGCCTCACAGAAAGGTCATGTGTTCAAACCTTGGTCGTTCCGGGCCTTTCTGTGGGGAGTTTGCATGTTCTCCCCATGTCTGCGTGGGTTCTCCCGGGTGCTCCGGCTTTCTCTCACCGTCCAAAGACATGCGGACTAGGTTAATTGGTGACCCTAAATTGTCCTTTGGTGGGAGCGTGACTGGTTGTCTATGTGTGGCCCTGCCATGGATTGGCGACCTGTCCAGGGTAGGACTGAACGATTAATTGCATTTGCGATATTATCACGATGTAATAAAACGAGATTTTCTAATCGCAACGGCTGCGATTACACTCACATGACATCCAAGAGGAAAGCAGTCTGCAGAAGAAGTTGATGCTTCGTCTGCACGTTACGCTGTACCTTGTCTTCTTGTTGTACAATGGCCTTAAGTGTGCTTACTGGGATACAGAAAGATGGACTAAGAGATTTGAACTGAAATAAAGACGCATTAATTGGAGGTTGAACTTTGGGTTTTGTATTGAGCACACTGGTGAGTTAATGTTATTTTTTCTTGTGGTCTATAGGTAGGCCGACCTGATGATATATATCATGTTATTTAATGCCATGACTTGACTCAAATTATCTTTCTCATATTATTACAATTTGATATATCTTCTCCACCATTGCTCATAGTAATAATTCTACCTAATTCATCATAACACAAGAAAGAACAGTGTAGTTCTAATATTGTGTATACACTGATTTACTGCTTGTCCATTTTGAATAATACAGGCGGTAAAGAGCTTAAAAATTAATTGCATATTAAATCGCAATATTGAGAAAAAAAAAACGCAATTACATAATTTTCCAAAATTGTTCAGCCCTAGTCCAGGGTGTACCCCTGCCTTTTGCCCGATGTCAGGCAGGATTGGCTCCAGCCCCCCGCGACTCTGTACGCAGGATAAGCGGTTGACGATGGATGGATTTTGTGTTGTCTTGCTTTTATCATGTACAGTGGGGAGTATTTGATACACTGCTGATTTTGCAGGTTTTCCTACTTACAAAGCATGTAGAGGTCTGTAATTTTTATTTTAGGTAAACTTCAACTGTGAGAGATAGAACCTAAAACAAAAATCCAGAAAATCACATTGTATGATTTTTAAATAATTAATTTGCATTTTATTGCATGACATAAGTATTTGATCACCTACCAACCAGTAAGAACTACGGCTCTCACAGACCTGGTAGTTCTTCTTTAAGAAGCCCTCCTGTTCTCCACTCATTACCTGTATTAACTGCACCTGTTTGAACTCGCTACCTGTATAAAAGACACCTGTCCACTCACTCAAACAGACTCCAAGGACATCAGGGATAAAATTGTAGACCTGCACAAGGCTGGGATGGTCTACAGAACAATAGGCAAGCAGCTTGGTGCGAAGGCAACAACTGTTGCCGCAATTATACTACTTTACTACATTGCAGGACCTGGGCAATGACCTGAAGAGAGCTGGGACCACAGTCTCAAAGAAAACCATTAGTAACACAATATGCCGTCATGGATTAAAATCCTGCAGCGCACGCAAGGTCCCCCTGCTCAAGCCAGCGCATGTACAGGCCAGTCTGAAGTTTGCCAATGACCATCTGGATGATCCAGAGGAGGAATGCGAGAAAGTCATGTGGTCTGATGAGACAAAAATAGAGCTTTATGGTCTAAATTCCACTCGCCATGTTTGGAGGAAGAATAAGGATGAGTACAACCCCAAGAACACCATACCAGCCATGAAGCATGGAGGTGGAAAAATCATTTTTTGGGGATGCTTTTCTGCAAAGAGGACAGGACGGCTGCACCGTATTGAGGGGAGGACGGATGGGGCCATGTATCGCGAGATCTTGGCCAACAACCTCCTTCCCTCAGT